TGCCGGTACTCCCCTTGGTATTCAGTACTAGCAGATAATGAGAAGTGCCGGTACTCCCCTTGGTATTCAGTACTAGCAGATACTGAGAAGTGCCGGTACTCCCCTTGGTATTCAGTACTAGCAGATAATGAGAAGTGCCGGTACTCCCCTTGGTATTCAGTACTAGCAGATAATGAGAAGTGCCGGTACTCCCCTTGGTATTCAGTACTAGCAGATAATGAGAAGTGCCGGTACTCCCCTTGGTATTCAGTACTAGCAGATACTGAGAAGTGCTGGTACTATGAAGACGAAAAAAAAAGAGGCTGGTACTGGCCCACTTCAAGCACTGTCCATTTATCTACCATAACCACATATTCAGTACAGGGTGGCTGTGAGCCCGGAGCTATCCCAGAAGGCACAGGGCACAAGATATCCTGGATAGGAGTCCACCAAGAGACGGTGGATTTTGAACCCGTAACCCTGGCAATATGAAGCTACAATGAAAGCCACTGTTCCAACCTGTATGCATCCTAAGTAGCAGCAAAATGGGAAAAAATTAGTATTTTAAGAAAAAATAGAACGGGAATGTTTCCCTGGATCAGAAAAAAAAAATCTCACCATTTTGAGAAAAGCAGGAAGCTGAGGCAATGACACTGTAAGCTTTTATTTGGTGCTGGTTACACGCCTATGTGCTTCAGCTAGTGAGTCTTCATCGGGGCATCAGCTAATTAGCTGCTTTTTTTTGCTACTAAGCTTAAAAAAAATATCTGTAAATGGACTCATCAGCGTGGGTCAAACCCTCAGTCAACAGCCCAGCTAAACCTGATTAATTCTGGGGTTGGCTGGAAGTGAGGCAAACGAGGCAGGAGGGGATGGACACCCCCAAGACTAATGATGTGGATCAGGTCTGGCTCCATATGGAGCTCGGTAGAATGGAAAAGGCTGATACCCCCCCCCCCCCCCCATGACAGTGACAGGCCCCCAGGCCCTGTGATCTTTTCTAACTGGATCTGGCGACACGGTTCCTCTTACAAAAAAAGCCTAATTAGACACGGTGACAGTCTGCTTCTGTTCACAAAGGGAGTCTGCAGCCAAGTCTCTGGCGAGCACATGTGGGGCAAATGGAGAAATTCTGGGCTACAGAAATCATGGCAAGGAGCCGCTCTCTGTCCCACACACGCATATGTACGCCAGTGCAGGCCAGCAGCAAAGATACACTCTTCAAAACTATGTCATAATATCAGGCCACTATAAAATTCAGTGCGTGACTTAAAAAAAAAATGTGACAAAAGCAATTAAATATTTATGAAGTGTATCTGTGCATGTGTGAATAAGAGATGCACACGTCAAACTAGCAGTAGAGCTTTTTCATTTGTTTTGCATTTTATCAGAAATTACAAGTGCTGGCAGAGTTTGCTAGGCACTGCTGCAGAAACAGACCTTCCTGCAGCACCATCCCAATACCTAAATAAAGCAGCACCGTCATAGAGAGCTTTGTGGACCAGGCAGACAATTAATCAAGAGGGTTCCCAAACCTGCAAGATCTATACAGGCCTACCTTATTATTATTATTGTGCTATCTCAGTCACCATTTATCAAATTACTTGCCTTCATAATCTTTTAATCTGGCATTCTGTTGCCTTGTATGTCCCCTCATTGCCGGGTCATTCCATCTCATGGGCTCTCTCCTTTGGCTGCTGGAAAGTGGTAAGCTCTTGGTCCTGACACTCCACGAGAACTGGCCACAGAATGCGTTCCTTGTCACTCTTTCCCACATGTTCTTTGTCTCCCCACATCTTTCACTCCAAATTCCTCCTCCTCCTTCTGTCGACACTGTGGCTCCCTTTGTCGCTCTCTGTTTACTTGGTGGTCACTAGTATACTGGACAGTTAACGTGGTTTACATTTTAATTACATCTCCCGGAAATACAGCTGGATACTTTGCCGAGGCGACAGGAACCGCTGGTATCCACATAAATTCCTCTTTCACGCGCCCATACCCCGCTTCTCCTTTTACCTTTTCCCCTTCAGCCGTCTCTTTATCGAGTTCACTCCCTCATCAGGATCGTTTTACAGGAAGCTGTAAACCTTCCTTTAAGTGAAATTATTCTGACCCCCACCGAACCACCACGTTCTCACCATCAAAAACGTGATTAACAGGTGGCGAGGTTAATCCGTGCGCCTATTGTCGCCATCGTCATAATGCAGGTTCTAAAAACAGGGCCGGATCGGGCACCAAATATAGCGTGCAGTGCTGGGAATAAGACAGTCGGTCCTCTCATTCTGTGTAACACACACCAGCCTCCCACCATCACGTTCAGAAGCGCTGCTGAAAAAGGACCCGCATGCCGTTTGCGAGCCCCGATCGCGACCCGGTGACAGCAAGTTAACAAACCAGACTTCTCAGATACACAGGCAGAAAAAAAAAACTTAACATGAAATTATAAGTCGCTTCCTCGTCAGTAAGAATCGTCTTAACTACTTGTCACAAACATATCTTTATTTATTTGTGCAAATCAGAGCTGGCTGTATGTGAAATCTGCATATATAACAGAAAACTATCAAATACAGGTACGTGAATAGGGCTGTCTCGGTGTGCAGCATACATACATGCTCTGTATCAAACATACAATTTGCGTTTAGTGTTTTTTCCTCCACTGCAATTGTGGGTTTTAGTAAACATGGCGTTTAACTCGTGTGTGTGTGAGATTTTGGGAATTATTTTATCTTTTGCGTTTTTATCACTCCTATTCCCGACGGTCGTGCCCGCATGGCATCGACGAGGGCAAAACCCACAAATGACGCGCTGTCACAACTATAAGGTAGTCAGATAAAGGCATCGATCGCACGGGTCCGGCAATGGATTTGCCATCTTAAAATAGCGACCCACTTAGCCTCCTGTATCAACACGCCTGTCAAGAAGGTTAAAACGAAGCGGTTGCATTCGCTGCTCCTTCTTGCCCAGTACTTTACATCGTTGATAATCCCTGTTTTGCATCTGACACTTTGTTCCGTGCGTGGCTCCGTGTCACTGAGAGATGTCATACGAAACGGACCAGATAAAGGGCAATTGCTTTAACTTACCCTGGATAAGGATCGGATCTTCTCTACCGTTTCGGGTAGCGTGTTTTAATGGGTTGGATAAGATCGGCTAGGTTCGGTTCAGCAGATCGGCTTTGCTGTGTGGTTAAGGAGCGTCGCTCCCCGCCGCTCGCCTGCTTATCGTCCTTAACACACGATCGTCCAATCGGGTGTCGCCTGACGCCCCTTCGTGCCACCACCCATCAGGAGCGGCACGCAACCAAAGCCGCACTTGGCAGCTTTTAATACAGGGAGCTTCAGCCCCCCGTCCAAGCGCAAAAGGTCCATTGACTTCCTGCGACGCCACTACGAGAAACTATGAGACTCTGCAAGACCCCTATTGATCTATGAGACAGAGACAAGTCCACTGACGGAGGAAACCGTATAGAAAGACAAAACGCACGAAGCAATTAGCATCCTTTATTTAAATAGATTTGAGGAAGATACATTATTATTGGATTTTATTAGTGTGCAGGATGTCTATTCCAAGAATTTATATCAGTGTATTTCAATATACATTTATACTGCATGGGTATAGCCTATAAACATTTGTCTTAAAACATTTTTTCTTTATTTTTACAATTATTAACATCAAAAGAAAAACAATGCTAGAAAAATATTCTGACAATTGTAGTTGAAAATAATAATATTGGCTCATCAGATTTAAGAATTCGTCTTAAATAATAATGTAACATAATAGTGCACTTTTGGAAGATTTAAGATTGACTGCATTTTTACTTAACCAACATTGTGCGTAAGCATAATAACAATAAAACACTAAACAAAATCAAATATTTCATTGTAATATACATATACACACCTGGCCATGTATATTACTGGACATCTTTCCCTTCAAAAAACTGAAGAGATTTTTTTCTTTTCCGATTTCATTATAAAAAAAAAAAACATTTCATTGCGGTATATCGTCACTATAAGTTGAACATCCATAAATCAGATATAAGACATAGTGCACAAGATTAATAGCGATATTCCAGTGTCCTCCTAATCAAATAAAACGACCAGACTGATAGGAGTCCAGTTAGAGAAGCGGTCTGCGTGTGACAAGATTATTGCTGATTAATACCAGCAAAGGAGACCATCGTCTCGGGTCTTTGGAAAACCTTCACACACTCATGCTGCTCCCATCGGTCTGGTTTTACTGGCCGGATCCTGTCCGCACGGCGGGATTATCCGGATCATGCAGGGATCCATGCCGACGCCACTCAGGTGCACGATCTCGGCCTCCATGACACGGACTTATCCTCTCCTCACACAAGGTAGTCTAAGGCCACTTAATTGTCCCTCCCGCTCCCCGAGTGCAACCGTACATCCCAGTAACATTCTCATGCTTAACATACTGTCTGAAGGAACTGCGTCGAAACGCATCGTACAAGATTACTAAAAATAAAATGCCGCTCGATGAAAAAGAATATACTGTATCGGGACCACGCAGGCGATTCTCTAACTGGGTCTTTGGAAGTCAGAGAATTCGTCCTTTTATATAGAAAAAATATAACCTGCCAATGCCTTCGCAAGCATAAAATAGCGTACAAAATATAACGGGACGAGGACTATTTTGGCACCTCAAAAGCTGGGCATGGTGATCAAAGCAGGTTTCTAGATAAGTCTTTAATCTGAGCCAACGCGGAGACTGTTAGATCATTAATAGCATCACCGCAGTAAACTCAAGCAAACGATAAGCTTTTCATGTGCAATAATGACTCTTAGGTTTCAACGTTAGAAATACCCGCTGACAGCGGCACCATGTTAATGGTACAGTACCTTGACAGATCAGAAACTAAAAAATAATTTCAACAGTACGAAGACCAGGTTTTCCCCTTAGAAGACTCACGTTGTCAGTACGGTATGTAAAATAACTTATTTTATCGCGGTTTTAAGTTCATGAGAATTTCTATCCATAAATAAACTATTGCCAGCAAACGGGCTTTAACTCGTGATGTTGGCAGCCTGGCTATTCACCGCGCGGACACATTGAAAGAAATAAAACGTGGGAAATACTGCTGGCTACTAAATATGGAAGCACGTAGCCTAAAACAAAAACGGCGCTTTGTCTCAGTGTAAGGCGAGGCCGCCTCCTTATAGCCCGCATACTTCTACGCGTTAATGCTCACGTGTGAAGTTCACAAATGCCGTTTCCTGATTTCATGAATGAGCCCACACCCTGATCGTAGATCAGGTAGCCTAAGTCGGGATAATAGGGCAAGGCGACCTGATCCTCAACCAGGATCTTGTGTGGCCATTCAGCAGAGTGTCAAATGTTATCCAAGAGTTTGTCTGCTTCTCTGCATAAATTGTTCTTTGTTCATTGGCTGCATTCTCCCTGGGTCGTTTTTATCCTGACCTGGTTGCGTAAACGTAAAGTTATAACCTGTTTTCATCATCAGCTGTATTGATGATCTGTAATTGGTTCGGTCCAGAAAATACCTGCAGCAACAGTAGACTGACCCAATAGGCTCCCCGGTTCTGAACGGAACCCATCAACAGCAGCACCAAATGCATTTTAAGTCTGCAAACTCAACACAAAAAAATGGAAGAAGTTTTTTTTTAAAATGGAATGTTCTAGTCCTCCGCATCTCTTTCACAACCTCTATCCTTGGCCACCTGCTATACTTCACTCTCAGCCCCTGGGTCCTCATCCGGGCCGCCCTCCGCCCCTCTGGCCCTCGCCCGCCTCCCACAGCCCGACCTGCCCATTCCCTGCGGGTAGCCGGCGAAGGTGGGGCTGACGGGAAGGTACTGGAAGATGCGGTGGCGTCGTAGGAAGTCCATGCCGAACGGCAGGTCGTAGGAGCGCATGCCCTCCAGCTCGGCGGCGCTGTAGCGTACGCCCCGCTTCAGCCGCCGGATGCCCCGCTCTGCCAGGGTACCTGGGTGGGGGGAGGGTGCAGGCTCAGCAGGGGTTATAAAACACAGAACCTTACTGACTACAGTATCATATCATTACAATTCCTTCATATTCTGTAAACATATCCAGTACGGCAGTGTTTCCCAACCCGATCCTCGGGGACCCAGGCGGCCCGTGTTTTTGCTCCCTCCGAGCTCCTTGCCAGACAGTCCGGTCGGGAGTTGGGAGAGAGGAAAAACGTGGACTGTCTGAGTCCCCAAGGACTGGATTGGGAAACACTGCCTTACAGTGAGCCTGGATCCTATCCCAAGAAGGGAATAAGGGAGGGAACAAACTGGATGGGATGCAGACAGTCACACAACAATAAACAGCACTGGAAGCAGAAACCTTAGTGATATAGGTTGTTAATTGCTATGCCACCTGCTGCCCATTCAGAGCCACTACAGGCAGGGTAGAGGAACACTTACCTGGAATAGTGTTATCCAGCACAAATGCCACAGAGCCTCCCACAAACATTGCCGTGGTCAGAAGCACATTGAGGACCTGGTCGATCTCAGCAATGCCTGTGCCGGGGGGGCAGTGGTTAACGGTGTTGATGTGTATATTCAGCAACATAAGTACAGAGTATGTTATGGGTCATCATGACAGACATCCTGCATAGCATATAATGGCTAAAACAAAGCTGAAACTAGAATTTCCTCCAGGGAAGATATACAGAATCTTAATGGTCCTTTGTCTTTGGTCAAGGTTTTAGGAATCTAGGTCGTGTCATAAGTCACCAGGCCCAGATGGGTACTGAACTGAGTTTTATAAGTTATTCTGACCTGAATTCCATACAGTACTCATGCCTACACTGCAAGACCTACTAAGCCATGACTCAATACCTGATACATGGAAAAGTGACTCAATCTTCCTGCTTCTTAGGAAGAGAAAGGACCCTCAACACTGTTCCTCATACTGACTTGACAGGCTACTTAACACTGATTCCAAAATTATGGCTACGGTTCTTGCTTGCCGATTAGAGGTGGTCTTTCCCAAAATAATCGAGCCTGACCAGACGGGTCTTGTGAAAACACATTATGGGGCGGATAATATTCCTAACTAATTAAAGACTG